TGGCCCGGTCTGTGCCGCGCTGCTGGCCGTGCCCTCGTTCCTCGTCTCCCTGCCGTCCCCGACTCCTTCCCGCCGCTCCCTGCCCTCCCGAAGCCCAGCGCCGGGCTCCCGGGGCCTGGGTGGAAGCAGAAGAGCTGGGGCGCCCCCGCGCCCGAGTTCGTCCTGTGGGGAGTGTCCAGGGAGGAGGGGCTGCGTCCCTCTTGCGGGCCTTGTGGGGCCGGGGGGATCCCCGAGCCGGGCGGGAGAGGCCTGGGGACTGCAAGGCGACCACGCTGCCGGGCCCGCCGCCCGCGCTCCTGCCCGACCCTCCGGGGTCCACACCCACGCCTCGGTAGGCCCCGCTGCCCACCCGCGCGGGGCCCGGCCGTGTCGGCCTGGAGCGCGTCGGGGCCTTGGGGGCCCGTGGGGGTCCTGCGGGCGGGGAGAGCCGCCGAGCCCGGCCGACCGCCTCTCCTTGTGTGTCCGCAGGTAAAACGGAACTGCACGGGAAGCCCATAGAAGTGGAGCACTCGGTTCCAAAAAGGCAGAGGTGAGCTCCTGGACTTTTCTGATGGATTCCTTTCTCGTTGCGTTATTGGGAGGAAGGCTCGGCTGAAAACAGCCCCATGGCCGCCCGTGCTGCTCGGGTGCTGTGAGGCTTGGCGTGGCGTGTCTTTGCCCCTGCGTTTCAGTTCACGGCAGGGGTGTGTGTGTTGGCACTGCCGGGGCTCGGCCGTGGCCCCTGCCGCTGGGTCGTTGTCGCTGGTGATGGAGTCTCTCGAGGAAGTTCACTGCGGGATGTTCTCGGTCAGAGCCGGTCGGGTTGACCACGGGAGCTTGGTCTCCACAGGCGGTTCTGGGGGATCTGCAGGCTAAGGAAGCAGTGGGTGATTCCCGCACCCATGGGTGCGGGGCACGCGGGAGCAGCTCCCGGCGAGCGGGGATGGCGCCCTCTCCCTCTCCCTCTCCCTCCACCTCCTTGTCCAGAGCTGGGAGGCCGCCCGCGGCGGGCCCGCGGGGAGAGGAGGTGACCCCTGCCCCGCTAGCTCGCCGGCGGGGGTTGGAACACGGAGTGAGCGCCTGGGCCCCTCCGGCCCAGAAGTGCCTTTTAGTCACTCCGGAGTCCTACACAGGGCTCTGCGGTCACCGCTCGTGCCCCCGCCCCATGGTTGGGCACGTTTTTGCTTCCAAATGGCCACCAAGAGGTGGCAAGCGGAAGATTTGTGGTACTTAAGCAGGGGATTTCTCTTCTCCCAGATCGTGAGTGGTGTCACTTTGCAAAATGTTTGCAGACTGTTTTTAGCCTTTGAAGTATTTTGAGACAGGGCTCCTGTCTCTGGAGCAGGCCAGACTCCGGCCATGTAACTCGAACTGGAAAAGTCACTGCCCCTCCCAGTAGCGCTGGGGTTGGCCTATTGATCCTCTCTGGGTTTTGCAAGGTGGGGTTAGGATTTCTGCGTGCCCCTCCCATCCCCCCACTCCCAACGAGGGCCAGACAATAAGCTCGAAGTTAATTTAAACCAGGGCTGCGGGTGCCTGGCTGGGATTGGTGAGAGTGCGCTGGGGTTGGCGGGGGCGGGGGGAGGAGGCGCAGGAGGGGCATGCGTGCACTTCCCTGGGGCTGTGCAGAGGTGGCTTCACACAGTGTCACCTGTACCCCTGTTTCACGATTTGAGCTCTCTTCTAGGTAAAACATTTTCACAAATCTTGTTTTTAGGAAGGACGTGGTTTTGATCTTTGTGGATTTCTCTTATTCATGTGCTTGAATTTCGTTAGGGTAATTGAAAGTGTATATCGAGGGACCTGATTTAGTTCTTGTAGAGAATTTTGGTAGGGTTCAAGTTATTTAATGTAGTAGAATGCTGTTATTTTTTAGAAAGCTCCTAAAATAATAGGATGTGTGCTTAAAAAAAAAAAAAGTCTAAGTTGAGCCTAGTTTAACAGGCATTGAAAAGTGGAAGGAGAAGCCATATCTCCCAAAAGAGAAGCTTAAAGGCATACCCTCAATTGGTCACCTAGGAAAAAAAATGTAACTGCATTCTGCAAATTCTAATTGGTTTCATGTTTGGCTAGTGTGTCTTAATTTTCTTAAAATGTTGAATTAAAAAAAGCAGTTGATTGTGTTTAACAGACTGACATTTTAACATCTGAGAGTTTCTAAATTTAAACATTAAACATCTTGAGTTTTTTTTTAATACAATTCATTGACCAGCATGTAAATACAGATTACATGCCTTACCTGCTTTACCTTCCTGCTTTTTGCAGCCTGGTGTAAATTTCTCTCTGTGTGAATGGAATTAAATAAAAAAAGCATTACCTAGAAACAACTGCCTATCTTATTCTTTTTTTTTTTTTGTGAGTTAGAGTCTCAGTCTGTCGCCCAGGCTGGGGTGCAGTGGCACCCTCATGGTCACCGTAGCCTTGACCTGCTGGGCTCAGGTGATCCTTCCGCCCCAGCCTTCCAAGTAGCTGGAACTACAGGCACATGCCACCTGGCTAATATTTTGATTTATTGTAGAGATGAGGTCTCACCAAGTTGCCCAGGCTGGTCTCAAACCCATGTCTCAGGCAATCCTCTCACCCTGGCCTCCCAAAATGCTGGAATTATAGGCATGAGCCACCACGCCTGGCCTGTTTTATTCTTAAAGACTTTTGCCCAGACTGAAAACGTGGTTAGTTTTTATTTTATAATGAACAGGAATTCCTCTTTAGGAAAGCACAGGAAGTAAAATATTGCTAGTGCAGCAAGTACGTATCAGTTTATCTTCAGTTTGTTAACAATGTCGACTAACCGTTCAAGCTCATTTTTTACTAACATTTAAAAATGTTCAGGATTTTGAATGATACAGTACTAACATTGGAGACAATTTTTTTTTTTACCGATTTGAGAAGAAGAATCAAGTCCTTTGCATGTGTTGAAATGTCTTCAAACAAAAGTAGAGCCTTTCTTTGTGCCTGGAAATTTTGTGGAAATCTTATTATAGTGGCTTTACCTGAAGGTTGGAGCTGTGATGCAGTTTCCCTTATCTGGACTGTTCCGCTGTCTGCATAGGCTCTGGGAAAGAGCAGGTAACTGGTGAACCCACATGCCCACCACCTATGGCAAGGTCAGGAGGTGGAGCTGGTGATATGAATAGTGAGCTGAATGCCACAGACCAATCCTTGCCAAGAGAGCCTGCTGGACTTCAGGGTGGATTTCTTTCTGCTTAGCAGTCGTTTATTCCACCGTCTTGTAGGCATCTGAGGCAGGAAAACCCACATGTGCAGCAACGACCTTTATACCTGCTGTGCAAGGCATGTTGGGAGCCTGGTGCTGGAGAATGCTTATGGCAGCACGCTGAGATGGATGAATGGGCTTGCACCGAATAAACTGGAGAGTGGGCCCAGGAGGTGATTGGGTGCTTGGCAGGCTGGCGGCGTTCTGACTTCCAGCGGAGCTGGGTGGGACCCTTTCAGGAAGGGGCAAGGTTGAGTTTGGTTCAGACCAAGCTTTGCTCTGGATTACAGAAGTCTCTTGAGGGAATGTGGAAGGAATGTGGCTTTTCTGCATTCAGATACCTCTCAGTTGGGGAAGATTATAGCTGTTCTTTGCAGCCCTGAAGGTCTCCTGCATCCGGAATGAAGAGAAGATTGCACTGAATATCTGCGATAGTGTTGCACCTTTTATTCTAAATATAAAAGATACAGCATATTTGACTTGATGTCTTGGAGGTATATAGGCTTCACATCCCTCCCCCCCTTGTAGGTAAGCGTGGGTGTGGAACGTAATTGTGACTTCCAAAGAATGTAGCTGAGTTTGGCTGGAAGAGCTCCTGGTGCCTTGTGGGGCCTTGTATGTGCCCCTATGTGATTACGTAAATAGCACTGTTGTCTTTTTCTGTTATGTTGTGGGCCCTTGGCCATGGGAGAGGGAACAGGAAAGTTGCTGACACTGGGGAACTAAGAGGATGGTGGTTTTAGTTCAATTTCCATGACTTTTTCAAATTATGAAAGTAATTCTTCATATCTTCAGTTTTTTATAGCCTAACCATTATTTATTAAACTTCCTCATGATTTAGCTGTTGGCATTGATTAGGATTATATGTAGCCGAAAATATATTTTAAAAAGAAAAAACCCAGTAGGATATTATAGTTAGTATTTTTTTCTGGAAAGGATTCTTTAAAACAGACTGTGGTGCCTAAGCTCAATAACTACCAAAAAAAAATAGTGATGGTTGCACAGCATCATGAATATATTTAACACCAATGAATTGTACACTTAAAAATAGTTAAGATGGCCAATTTTGTCACCTGCATTTTGCCACTGGGAAAAATGAAAAAGACAATGAACAACTTATTTCCATTTTACAATTGTATGTTTTACATATAAATCGGGTACAGCATTGTGAAAGTCACTGGGATTTTAAATGCATCTTACTTTAAGTGGCTATTTAAGAGCCAGTGTTGCATTTTAATAGCTGTTAAGTGTAGAATAGGGTAGTGCCATGGCCAGTAACGTGCCCATTAGTCAGGGCACATGACCCCTCACTGTGGGACCGGCTTCAAAGTCTTAGAACAACAGAAACCGTTTAAACACAGGTATGAAGAGCAGCGCTGTCCTTTCTTATCAGTGTGGTACAGGTGAATCAAGTGAATTGGGAAAGTTTCTCACACATGCAGAGACTTGAGGTTCTGAAGGTTAGGGAATTTTCTTGGCTGGTAAAGAATTAGAAGCAGGGTTATCTTTGGAGTGCTCAGTTGAAGATCAGTGTGTGACTGCTTAAGTGGTTGTAGCTGGAAAGATTTTTTTTTCTTGATTTCCTTTTTTCTCAAAACAGAAAGGTTTCTTCTTACTTCAGCTTTAATAGAATTAAAAAAAATTAAATAACATTAAGTAGCATCTACCGTGTAGCTGCCACAATAACCGGGAGGAAAATGTTATGGAAACACTACGTGCCTGGAGCCAGTGGGACTCGAGAATCTTGGCATCTGGTTCTGGCTTTCCTTTTGATTTGTGTGATCACTTACATGCTCTGTTCAGGCCAGATGCCATCATAATAAACTACAAGGGACACACAGTATTTTGTTCTGAGCTTTTGCCATTCTGCTGGAAATAAATGGGTTACCAGCTAAGACTTAAACGTATCTTTTGGAATTAGAGATCTGGGGTTTTCCCTGTAAGGAGCCAGACTTGAATTCTTCTGTGTGGTAGCTCAGTTGTTTTTGCCTGTGTCCCTCTTTCAGGCAGTCAGCAAGAGGGAAATGATCTTTGCCATGCTTTGAAACCCTTTTATGAGCCACACCGCTTCGGTGCGGTTAATGTGTGGTTCTAGGATTGGAATTAAAGGATTGTATTAAAGTGAAGCTGTTGAACCACCTTCAAATGTTTGAAGTGACACCATTATAATTGTTTTTAGCAGTATGCAGGCAGCAACTTTTGTAGCAGTAACTAATTTTTGAAAGGTATGAATTATCCATTCGGTAACTCTGGCGGTTGGTTTGGTCTGGGAGGGAGGAGCAGCAGAAAGACAAGATGGTTAACTGTGCTATTCTTAGCTGAGTTTCCTTTAT